AGCACATTCTTCTTCCATGTCAACACCTGGCATCTACATTACCCACAATGCAACGCAACTGCGGACAGTTTGGTCAGAGATCTGAGCGTGATTATTGGTTCAGCCTCCAGCAGACTATAGAGATCTGGTACTTTTCTCCTGGATTTTTTAATTTTCAAACTTCAGCCCCTTCAGTGAGCGAAGAGACATCACTGGAGGCAGTTTATCTCTTGAGCCACAAAAAGCTTTATACAATTTACACATGTGAAGCAGCAGCATATATACCATACACTTGTGCAGCAGTACCTCCCAAGAGCTGTAAACACACCGTGATGTGTAATCAAACGTGTGATGGAGGAGATACCCTTAAAGACCCCATTCAATGTAACTGCTTGAGTCTGACTGGGGGCCGTCAAAGCATCTTATGCTGTTGTCTCGGTGGAACAAACAGCAGGTGTGAAATAAAAATGAAACATGATTTCTTGCATCAAATCTAGATGCAATTTTTGTTGTTGTTGAACAGTTGGTAAATTTAACAATGGTTGCACGCCACCAGCCATGTTTTCTCAGCTTTGAACCACATGTGAAAGTAAATCTTGGCAGTGGATGAGGAAGAAGTCTGTCATTTTGAACTGCATCTTGATCCTGACAAACATGCAGTAAACAACAGAAGTGAATGCACCCCTGTATAATATAACAATTATTGGTATTAAACCACGTTAAACTGTATTATCTTACAGTGATTACTAGCTTCTAAGTTGAACAGTAAGATATTTGCTCTCTATCGGTACACCTTTCAGTCAAACTTACATTTTTTCAATAAATCTTATGTCTACATTTATTTTTGATGACGGACTCAGTCATTCTCAGCATGCGTAGTAAACACATTCCTGGAGAGATGACCTGCTGTTACTAAAAAACTTTTTTTTTTTTAGCTGCTCTTCACTAGAGAGGTTGTGTTACTCTGTCTTACTATTTAAAATATCCCAAAGGGGTTCTATTGGATTCCAGTCAGGCGACATACTTGGCCAGGTCATAATTTTCACAATTTCTTCTTTAGAAACTCTTGTGTGATTTTGGCAGTGTTCTTTGGATCGTTATCATGCTGTAATGTTCCTCTTCTGCTGAGATTCTGGACACTAGGAGTTATCTTGTCAGCCAGCATTTCGGTATATTTGCAGGCATTCATGGTGCCATCTATAAGTGTCATCTCCCCAGTGCCTTTTTCACTTATACAGCCCCATATCGCACTCCCACCTCCGTGCTTCACTGTGGGGACAATGCATTCACCGTCCTGGCCCGGCTCACGCCAAACGTGCTGGATCCCATCTAAGCAGAAGAAATTTATCTCTGTCTCCTTTGATCAAAGATTATGCTCCCTATTCATCAGGCTTCTTTTCATGTTCTTTAGCAAAGTTTCATCTCGCAGTTTTGCACTGAAGAGCAAGCAATGCTTTCCTATTGGACACTGTCCATAGAGGTTGATGCATGATGATTTTATGCACTGTCCTTCACGCTGTCTGAGCTGTCACAGAAACTCCAATTTCCTTCGATAACCCCTGTGCCAAGTCTGAAGCGCTTGCCCGTCTGTTTTTCAGAGTTAGATTGCGAAAGTGGCACACTGTCCGTGGAAGCTATTTTAGGAAGATGGCGACTGTGGCTCTGATCAGCGGTTCTATGGCTCGCTCTAAACCTCCTGATTACTGCTGCAACTGGGTTTCAACTGAACCTTCCTATCTGATCTTCCTATATCTTAAAAAAAAATGTTTTCAGTTTGTCACAATGACATTTTTAAAAATCCTCTGGGAATGCTTGTGGAGCCATGATGCAGACATGCAGATAAACACAGTTCATTGGTCGAACATTGAGAAAGTATGTACTGTAACTGAGTTCATACAGTGAAATCAGTGGTGTACTCAACTTTGTCTCAGTAATCACAAGCTTTCTAACTTGTGTTTCATTGATCACAGGTGTTTTCACTAACCCTAACCCTTCCTTGTATTTTAGGGCTATACTCATTTCCGTTGTACACTATTTTGCAGAAGACAATCATAAAATAAATGAGACATACCGTTTTCAAGATACCTGCCAATTACCTTACAGTATTCAGAAAATCCATCGTTGGTGTGGATTGCAATCTAAACCTGGATCAGGATCTGGTGTAGGAAGGATTCCTTTTGACGTTAAAGTGGAGAGAGCTGTCATCGTATGCACAATAGTCTTAAACCCAAAAACACCATGTCCAGAATTTTATATAAAACTCTAAGCACTTGAGTAAAACTGATAAGCATCGTATTATATTCTAACACTTTCAGGCAAGTATGCAACATCTAGACTCTACTGTTCGTGTCTATAAATAATGAATTAAGACCATTTCAGTTACACTCAAATTTTACTCAGATCTTGTGGGTCTGCGGCTACGATGCATCTTTCATTATGTTTCATTATATGTTGGGGGATGCAACAATGAGCGTAGTGGAAGTTGTGAGATGGCTGATATTACAGAGTATTCTTTAGCGTAGTTCTTCATTAGGAGAATACCGCCTGAGCGAATGCGGAAGCTTTGACACACAAATTCCTCAACCTACACTCACATTCACGCACTTATTGTGTCTCTGTCAAGTGAAATTAATACATGCTGAAGGATGTCGAGTTGTACCGTAGAAATGTCCACTCCCTCGTGTACCTCCATCCTTTTTCTCCTACAACCTCCTTCTTTCCTTCACTCTTCTTATCCCTGCTCCCTCCTTTCTTGCTTTCTCACACACACACACACACACATGCACACACACACACTCTCCCTTTTCTTCAGCCTCCTCACAGTCCAGATGGCCTAGCTGCCCCCACACTCACTCTCCCACATACACTCACTCCATGCGCTCCACCCCACTCCTCCTCTCCCCTACGGGAACAGCACTCCCTTTTCGAGGAGTAGACCTCACCCTCCATCCCATCCTCTCCTCCCCCCCTCCCCACACACACACACACACACACACACACACACCCACCCAACAACAACAACAAAATAAAAAAAAACACCACTACCATTGTGCTCACATCGTCGACGTATACACACACCTCCCCACACACAGGCATACTCTTCAACACATCTCCACTGTCCCTCCACAGACCACAGGCTTATATACGCCCACTCACATACACACTGACACAGAAGATCTTGTTCAGAATTCTCCTCTTGTGCAGCATAATGACTGATGGGAATATTGTAGGAATGCGGGTGCTGTAGGTGTGATGTACTGTACGGCGCACACGGAGAGGCATGGTCAGAAATCGTGTCTTCGGTCTGGTTGTTTTGAGCGTTTCATTCCCGTCATTAAATCGCGTAAAACAAGATCATCACATCCCTTCTGGTAACAACGGAGAGTTGGAGGATCAGCTCACCGACATCTTTCACTGGTGACTCAGCTGTTGCTAAGCGCAGACGGGATCTTTAGAACGTCTTTCCACGAGACGCACGTGGTTGTGTGACCGTATCATGAGCGCTACCTGCACGAACATGCCTACGTACAGTCGTGTTAACTTTTTCTGTATAATTAGCTGCTTGCGGGGTCACGGCTAGAGAAGATGGTCGCTCAGAGCTGAGAGAGAATCCTGAGGTATGAGGGCTATTGTTGGAGTGTGTGTGTGTGTGTGTGTGTGTGTGTGTGTGTGTGTGTGTTTGTGTGTGTGTGTTCACCGGCCAGGGAACGAAGGAGAAAGAGGGGCGAGTTGGTGTACGAGTAGAGTGTTTTCTATGGCTCGGTGTGGTGGTGCAAGGGGGGTGTAGGCCAGGGGAGGAGGAGGAGGAGGAGGAGGAGGAGGGTGTGGTTAACGGTTATAGCGCTCACAGGAAGCCGCGAGGCAGGGAAAGGGGAAGTGAACCACCCCCACACTGTTCCAAGGCCGCGGCGGCGCTCTCCTCGAGGATGGAACTAACTGACCTCAGCTTACAACTCCCACCACACCTTTAAACCCTCTCACGCACAAAACACAGATTCATGATGCACGGTCACTCGCTCACATCGGCTGCGATAATCGAGGTAGAGGTTGGCCATCATGCCTTTTGTCACGTATCCTTGCAGCACTGACTGCTGTGACTGCACCTCATTCAGTTTTTATACACTCAACATCCTTGTACATTGTCTTTTATATTCAATTTTGCAGAAAAAAAAATAAAAAAAGCCCTGCTGCCGTTAACACACTGTATCACGTTTTGGCCCTGCTGCTACAAATCTCCTGTTCTTTACAGGACTGCCAGCCATTTTCCCAAAAGTGAGCTTCTAGATTGACATTCCTCCCACGCTATGCACACAATTAAATATTACGAAACTTCAGAACAATATGAAAATCATCTGGCAGAGCTTTGAAAATTGCTTGATACCGGTAATCCATCATTAGGATCAATTTGTTGCTGTTATTTGCTGTTAAAAGTGTAATTATTTAGTAGACGGGAGCACGTACACAGTGTTAGAGTTGGTGAGGTGTTCGTCAGCCGCCAAAAAGTGTTTTAAATGTAATTTAAAGGGCTTGATATGGACGTGGATGTTCTGGAAAGGTAAATGTGATACGAGTTTACTTGCTTCGTGCGTTCGAATAGTTTTGATTTTTTTATTTTATTGTCCATTTGTACAAAACATTCTCTGATATGTTGTTTTATTTTTGTGTCACCACTATTTCCGTATCAGGTGCACAAGTCCTATTCTTACCTCACAAGAGCTGACCTAAACTTCCTCGCCGACCCGCAGACCACGCTGCACGTCAGCCAGCTCGGCTCACGCTTGGCCACCGTATTCGGGCTTTTCAGTCCCTACACATGTTCACTCTCAGCCAAATGACCACAGGCAGCATGGCTCAAACCCTACAACCTGGGTCAGCTGACTCACACACTGAATGCTGCGGGGCAACAAAGGTTAAAGCTATAGGAGAGCTAGCGGGGAAACACAGGCACACGCATGCACATATGTCAAGACACTTTGTATTGTACTCACAACAATAATTAAAAAAAAACAACTCCAGAAAAATGACATTTTGTTCAAACATTTATTATTTGGTAAAATTAACATAGTAAAAAGTACAGAAGACGGATGACAAAATATAAATGTTTCCTTCTTCAAGGGGAACTCATTGTGTAATATAATACAAAAGCCACCGATGTGACCCTTTTCCTGGCGGTGTGCGTAATGTTACCTTGGTGACCAGGTTTTAATCTCTCCACAGAGAGCTGGTTCCCAATCTGACCCTTAACCCTGATGAAAGAAAGGTCACCGGGGGTCACACACTCCTCTGGTCAATTTTGTGCGCGGCCATTTTCATCTGAAAAGGATGTTAGTGAAATCAGTTTTCTTGGCCAGACCACAAAGCTGGTGTGAATACATTTAGTTGTAACACAATTGTCCAGATATGATTACTGTGAAACAGACTAAAGATGTCGGGGAAACAAAACAAAAAAAACCCCAAAAGACTGCATCTCTCTTTTGTCCTCTAATTACTGTCTGGGGAGTGACAGTTTACATCCATTGAGATTTTAAAACCACATCAATATTTACACGTTCTCTAAAAGAAAAAGAAAAAAATCTAAATGTGTCTGATTTTTAATCCAGGAAAAAAAATCTGCACCTGTGTTAAAAAAAAATGGTCAGAAATCCCAAAACACATCGAGACGTTACATTTATTTTACTGTCACCTTTTTGCATCATTTAGTGTAACAGAGTCTCTGAGGAGTCATATAATCTGAGAGCAGTTAAGTGCTTTCTTATCATCGTAGAAACAGTTTCTGGGATAGTTAGTGGAAAATAGAACTGGAAACTATTGAGCAAAAATACGGTAGAAAGGTCTGACTGGATTTACAAAAGTTCTTACATTTCATTTTGTACCTGTGACTTTTAGATTGAATTACACATTTATCTCATTAAGAGGTCACAGTATAAAAAAGCGACTGCTTTTTGTCCTCATGAAAAAATAAGTACGTTCGTGGCACTGCACAGAATACACCAGAAATTACTTTTGAAAATCAAATTTTCAAAAAAAATGTCTTTCTTGGGGCTGAATGCCTGCAGTTCAGCTTCCCATTAAAATTATTTTCAAGGAATTTTGATTCATCAAATGGTTCCACGGAACAAGGACACAAACAAGAAGAGCTGTAACAAGCGATGAATGTTCCAGGGTGAGTAAAATGAATGAATACATCTGTACACAATTAGATATGTCTGAAAATATAATCTCTCTGCCGACTGGAGAAAAAGGAAAAAGGTATAACTTTTTAACCTTTTTTTTCCTGCAAGTATCCAAATGCACAAATAAGTGCTTAATTTTATCTTGATTTTAATTTATTTATAAATATTACATGTTCGTATGTTACAGATATTTTATACCCTTGCTGTTAAGGTCTGCTTTATACAAGATGAGATGCATTCATGATACAAGTTTTTGCAATTTATTTGCACAGAATTCGTCAAAAACAGTGTACAGTGATATAAATAGAGTAAATATAATTTCGTGTAGCGTGTCTTTATATTTGCTTACGCTTTCAATCGATTGCACGCAGGTTTTGACATAATATTTACGTAGATTAATATATTTTCTTGGGCTGCATGTTGTAATTTTATTTCTTTTTTTTTCTTTTAGTCTAAGGCAATATCAGTATTAAGAACAATGAAACTGATTAACGGCTCCAGATGGGACCAAACAACATACTTTGGATCACTGGGTAAATATATCACCATCAACAGAAATAAAGACGTGTTTTAAAATAACATTATATTTTATCTCTAACATGAAAGCAATGTATGAAACAATTCTCAGAAAGAGAATTTCCAACAGTTTTCACACAGCAGTCATTCTTGAAAACGGAATCAATCTAATAGGTGATTCAAGCCATTTGGAGAATAAAATAAAAAATATCAATGCAATTTATGTAGGAATAGCTTTTGTCTTTTGGTTAGTGTGTATGCTGCACCCTCTACTGGTTAACAGGCAGTTATGTAGGAAAAACTGTTGATATCTGTATCTATTGAGGTAAACTGTTGATATATATATATGCGACATAATATATAATATATATTTATATATAAAGTCGTTTGTTTTGAACACTTCCATTCATGATAAGTAGAATAAGGTTTTCTCTCCGCAGTGCTGACTTGAAATATTTTATTTTATACTTAGAAAATTTGCTCAAATCAGCTCAAATGAGAGAGGAACCTCTAGTTTTAGCCATAAAATAAAAATAATAATCTATTACATTGATGACTAAAACAAAAAAGACCACTGATTGTTTGTCTAATCAGCAGCTAAAAAAAAAAAAAAAATCTTACTGTCTGAACATCAAAACATATTCCAGCAAGGTCCAGGCAGGTTGTTATTTTAATTATTTTGTTGTGTTTGGTGTTCCTCCTCATACTCTGCCGAGGCGAGTTGGCGTTTCATGGGCTGACGAACCTGAGATTGAGCCTGAAATCACCATTCTCAGGTTGGACAGTCCTAGAAAAGAACCACTCAAGAGTTAAAGCGGGACTGGACGTCGCGTTCAGGTCCCTCCGTGAATCTCAGTACGCAGCGTCCACACTGAGGGCAAATGCTTAGACAAAAGTAAAAAATGAGCCAATAAAAAAAAAAGGAAAAGGAAAAGTCTGTCTGTCTTTGGATAATGGTGCAGATGCATTTACACATCAGCAAATGTGCACATGGTGTGTGATGTAGTGGTGGGCGTCGCTGCTTTATTCATAATTCAGATGCTCAAAAATGTACTCCATGGCCACGAATAAGAGAGTTATAATAATGCTTATGATCAGAATATGTAAGTCACCTAAAATGCTAATCAGAATCATAGAAAGTCTGGCATTTAAAAAAAAAATTAGCAAAACAAACACACACACACACACACACACACACACACAAGAAGTAAACAGGTATCCAAAATGTGATTTTAGTATCTGCTTAACTAGACCTCATTTTGTGTTATTATGTTATGAAATACATTAAAGCTAAATAACACCGAAAACATTAATTTAAAATGATTTTAATTGCCTAATTAAAGATGTTAGGATTTTGGCGCCAGAAGCAATAAAATAATTAATAAATAATGAAATGTTGAAAATATACTTTAAAAAAAATAAAAAAGTCCATTGATCAATTTAATTAAATGTGTTCTGTTTATATAGATATATTATTACAGGTTTTAGCTCTGATAAATAATATAAAATATAATACGGTTATGTTTAAAGGAGATACATCAAATCTCATTTAAATAAAACGGAATTTTTGATCTGATGATTAAACAGCGTGTCTACCAGGATAACATAATATATTTGTGCAAATGTTCTTATTCAGAAAAACTCCCAGCACAATAAATGAAGACTAACACCACATCTGGCTCTCTGTTGTTAGCGAACCTGCACTGAAACCACTCAGAGAGCAATTAAACACTCAGCCAACAGAGCTTAATGCACAAACTGCATCTCATACTAAAAACATCTAAATCACCCCGGCCTGACTTTATGAGGACAGTCCCCTCTTAGAATTTGTAACTCTCATGATAATAAACTATGCAGGTGGAGAGTGCAGCAGAACACACGAGCACACGTACAGAGAGAAAGAGAAAGAAGGAGGGGAGAGGAAGGGAAAGAAAACACGTTACCCTCTTCAACAAACTAACCTAAACCCTCTTCACATGATTCAGAAATGCTTCATTGTCTGAATAATTCATCCTCACCTATCAGCATTACGCCTGCTGCTGCTGCTTGCTGCTCTGCGCTGGCCTACTCACACCATCTCTTCACATTTACAATCCAGACACACTCACTGCCAGAGAGCACATTAACCAAACAAATAACAACCATAAAAAACAGAGTTACTTCCCATGTTTTCTCAACAGTCATTGCAATGATGGAGGATTGCGGCGAGCTCGTGAAGTGTCATTCTGTCTAAGAAGCTTTCAAAGTCTCCTCTGCATACTTCTTACCCCGCACGGCAGACCTTGTGACTCCCTCCAACCCAAAGGCGAGGCCAGACAGGGGGAGACAGTCTTCATCACGTAAAGTGAAAAATGAAATACAGGTCACTGAGCTATAAAGGCAACTCCTGCTGCCGTTACCAAGCTGTGACCTCATCGTGCTCTGTACTACCAATGGAGATGCAACTCTCTCACACACACACACGGCGACACACACACACACACACTGACACACCACCTTCCTGTTTGTCAGTGCCGGTGGTAAACTTTCCACTGACATCTTCATTCAAAGGGCCAATATGAAGTTTTCATGCATTTTGTCATCAAAAACAAAAGACATCTGCAGTTGATTTAAAACATTAAATCATGAAATGTCAAAATAAATGAATATAAGCAGGGGAACTTTATCAGTTTATTGAACATTTTAGTAAAAAAAAAAAAAGCCTTAAATTTTGCAAAAAATAAAGCCTTTCAAACGTATTGACAGCTGCACACCGAGGAGCAGAGCAAGACTAAAAATGCTGCTGCTGCTGCTGCTGAGTTTCCTGATATTCTTAGCTCTTGCTTGTCTTTTGACTGTCCTTCTCACACCTCCTCGCTCAGAAGACGATGCCTCTTGTGTGTCAATATCTGCCCAACAGGCCACTGTTGTCTAATTGTCCATCAGCCTCATGAAATGCGTGTCAATCACACTTTACCGCAGCTGACGTCTTGACAGCTGTCAGAGTGATAATTATGGAAAGTGATGGAAGATATCAAGGTTACTTTCCATGAAAAGAGGACAACCACAATATCCTTCCTGTTCATTTTCAGAGTGTAGGTAATGCGTCTTTCTGTCTTCAAATGCTTGATAAAGAAATAAAAATATGCACGTTACTCAGGCATGGTCAGAAGCTTACTCCATGTGCTTTGAGGTGTATTTTAATTACCCCGGCTGAAGAGTATTTGCACTGCTGGCTGGCAGCCACAAGGTTGTTAAATTCAAATTTAACATGAATGAAACTATGCACCATAAGCAACTTAAAATCTCTATTGCACTTTTATTAAATATATATATTATATATATAAAAAAACATGCAGAATTGGTAAAACCCCAAAACAGCATACAGTCACACAATGAGGCTGCAGACACAATCAGTTGGTTTCTGCACAGAATGACTTCCTCACCACTGAATCCAGCAGTGACTGTACAGTAACAAGTAACTAAAAGTAATGACAGGATGCAGCCAGTTCCATTACCAACTTACTTTTTTACCCCCCTGAATGGTGAGCATTTCCTTTTCTCAAAAAGGAAAAAAAAGAAGAGACTTTATACTGTAAAGCATTAAAAAAAAAAAAAATACTGTATGATGATAACTAGTTATGAACTCATAGAAAAGAATATGACGTCACCATGATATCAAAGTGAACTTTTTAGCAACTTGTTTCATCAGTTCAAATACTGGCAAGGATGAATAATGTGGAGTGCAACCCCTGTGTCTGGCAAACATGTTTCCAACAAAAGGACAAGGCAATCTCAAATAGGCACAAGCTTTAACAGATGGATCACATTCATTGCAATATTGCTACCAAGTAAAAGCACCAGGCACTATCAGGACACTCTCTGACCTGTGGATATTTTGAGTTCATGTGTCCAACATTTCGACAGCCCTTTTTTTTTAAAAAAAAAACAACAATCCCTTTCTACTGCATGAAAAACAGACACATAAATCAGGACACGTGAGACCGAAATAAACACTTAATCTGCGTTTGTTAAATGCACATGACCCATTTCCGCGGCAACAAAAAGATGCATGACTTGCCTGCTGACTGGTCAGGTCTATCCATAGTGAAAATATGCAAATGAAGGATATTCTGCATAAATATACACCACAAGTACATACTTAAAAGCTGTATAATGAAAAAAAGGGTTTTTTCAACATCCTTTTCAACTGGTTAGGTCAGCATCCACACTGAAGGAAAAGGGTGAACCAGAGAGCTAAAAAAAAAAAAAAAAAAAAAGAAAGAGAAAAAAACCAACACAGATATACACCTACACATTTTCCGATTGAATGGTCCTTCAGAAAGCGCTCGTGGCGATGGAAGTTGAGCAACATGAGTTCAGGTTCCGATTTTACTTTTGTGAAAGTTGTGAGAAAGGTATTTGGTAAAAAAAATAACCTTAAAACCTTGACTTTTTCTTCTTTTACGTCACGTGCAAATTCACATTCAGTTGTGTCGTCCACAGTGCACGGCTTAAGGCCCGACAAATCTTTCCAAAACAACACGCCGGCAAATAGAGATTGTCACAAATTAAAGAACAGAAATAAAACACTTTGACTTTAAAACATACTGTACAATAAAAAACAGTTTTCAGACTTCATGATACAGCTCTCCTTGACAGAGTTCACACAAGATGAAATAATTTAAAAATTTAACACAAGGTGACATGAGCAATGTTTTCTCCTGTGTTCAGTTTTAGGGCAGTCTGGTTTGGGCCTCGAAGGATGAACGTTGCAGCCAGACAGAGGCAAAGAGAATGTCCTCATTTTGTCCACTGAGGGCCACCGTCCTGAATCACCTAATCACCTAACCTAAGGGCACTGCCAGTAGTTTCTTCAGTAGCGTGGCTCATCCATCTCTTCATCACTCCAGTCAGGGGGTGCATCTGTTCCAAAGTATCGATCCCCGAAGTTTCCTACAAGGATGAAAAAAAAAAAAGGGAATTAAATCTATTTTTAAAAATCCTTTAATACAATAGTGAATACAATGCAATGACATTTACTGCATTCTAATTGTCTTAGAGGTGCCATTTCTGTTTTCTCACCTATTCCGGGTATGATGTGAAACAGATCGTTGACCTTCTTGTCAACAGCTGTGGTGATGATTTTGACCTGTGGGAATGCGTAGGCCACCGAATGGACTCCCATTTCAGCCATGAGCAAAGAAACCAACAGGATCTTGTCCTCCTGAACGTCGTGATCCTGAAAACGGAGACACTCCCGTGAAAAACGTGGAATGGAATTTCACTGCAGGCAAAGTGCATTTGAGAACAATCGGTTGCACCCACCAGTAAGACTCGTACAGCCATCATGGCGGCTGCTCCGGTGGACACAGTGCAGTCCATCAGAATCACGTGATCTTCGCTGATGTCTTTTGGTAGACGCAGGTAATGAAGCTGAAAATGGACGAAGGCAGGATGTGGGTTAACACCAAAGTGTGACATACAAGTCCTGTAGCTACATTTTGACATTGTTAAGACTTCCCCCAAACTGCCAGTTTTTCTCGAAAGGACAGATAAACAGGATGTATGATGAAAAAAACAAGGCCAAACTATACAAAGCTCATGTGGGAGATATTAATAAAAATGTGTCAATACATGTATAACCTCATGTTTCGAGACTCTGAGAATATGTGCAGGACAGCAACAATAACATTGCTTCACACAGAGGAAAGTTCTGCATTCATATGCCATTAATTCAGTTCTGTACCTCTGGCTCTCCTGTGTCCTGGTTGGTCTGGATGAGGATCTTGCCGATGCGAACGTCTTTGCAGACAGCCCTCAGGGCCGGCTCCATGGTCTCCCCGGCTCGAAGGATGGACACGCCTGTGATATGGAGAAAACAAAGAGAACAAAAAAGAATTAAACAGAGGTTAATTGCATCAGTTTAGGTTGAGACAAAATTCTTCTGAATGGTTTTTAACATTAAGAAAAAAAAAGCACGGAGAAGACGGCAGGAAGTAAATGGAGTTCACTCACCCTCTTCCCATGGAAAGTCCTGCCTTCATAATCCTCTCCCTGGGGGGTCTGAACTATGTGGACCTGAGATAATATTAAAAATCATAACAGTGTGAGCACAGTGCTGTAAAGTACAATAGAAGTGAGGAAAATATATTGTGACCAGCTACACTGAATTACAAGCTGTCAGTCACGTGTGTTTGCCTAATGCACACGCTGTCTTATGATTTAGGTACGGGAACTTTCCATTGTGGTGACTTGCTACGTTTCCATGCTCATGTTGCAGGCAAATACAGTCTGTGTATGTCTACCTGATGTGTCCTTTCAGCAAATGCAAGCACTTACACTTTTTCCATTCATCTTTATCTTTTCATACCCATTTCAAGGCTGCATGCTGTATTGTCTCGCTGTGTCTTGTCAGCATCTGTCTACTCATTGGTTATCTCCTCTTTTCTGTCTCCCGTCTTCCTCCATCTGCACCCAGCTATCTAATGGCTTAGAGTCAATGTTCTATTTAATACAAAGAACTGCAAACCCTTCATGCAGTGCTCTAAATGAATTCACAGTGAATCTTAGTATTTGGAACCTGTGAGGGGAGAAAGGACAGGGCTCGCTCGATCAACAGACGCATCAACCTCTTGGAGTAGAAGATGAACTCATCGCGGCTGGTTTCCTTATTTCTAGACGTGACCATCAGGAGAGTAAAAAATAAAAAGATGCAAGATTTATGCAGCAGCTTTACACCACACAGGGGCTTTTAATGGAAACAGATGTAGTAGTTCATGGAACAAAAGAGGTTTCTCAGCTTTTACCTGATGATGGTGTGCATGCCCCTGACTTGGGGTGTGCTCTCCAGAACGCTGAGGGTTTGGGGGAGGGGTTGGGCCTGGTGCGCTGAAGCCAGGGCTGCCCTGTAACCACGGCAACAAATAGCAGTGCGGGGGTGGCACAGGGTGAGAGTAGCGGAAAGAGGAAAGATGGACAGACGCATAAATACGACACATAAGAATACGAGCGTAATTAAGACTTGTCTGCCTGTGTACAGTATGTGCAGGTTCACACACAGGCGTGCACACACGGTCTGTATGCACACTTAAACACACACACACACACAAACGCAGACGTGTTCGTACATGCACAAAAACATGAATCATTTTTCAATAGTAGTTAGAGCAAAGTTGATAATGGTAGTGTAACCGCTGTAATAGGATTGCTTAGGGAGAAGGCAGACACACAAATTGCAGAGCACACAGGGCCAGTGTTGAGTATTTCAGTGGAAAATTACAACAGCACAGAGACCATGATAATGGAAAAGGAGGTCAAGAATTAAAATGGATCAAATTTAAAAATTAACATCGTACAGATTTGAAATAAACCATTTCACTGTCTCAAATAAATAAATGCACAATGGTTTATATTTTCCATGATGGGTCTCTACTTGTAATAATTCACCAGGCTTCTACAAACACTATAAATATTAGTTTTGAATATCTAGTTAGCCTAAGTCTAACTTGGAACTCTAGAGTAATAGACACGCTGTTACAAATACTCAGTGATGCCACTACAGTATCCACAATGTCACTGAGATACACATTAGCCAGATGCAAAGAAAAGAAAAATCATAGCAAATCTGCTCACATATCCCAGCGAAGTTTCCTCTATGGGGGGAGAGTTTTCGACGAAACAATCACAACACAGGGGACACAGAAAGACGAAAAAAAAAAAAACAACAACAGATAAGAGGAGGAAAAATGAGAAGAGACACAACATCAGGTGGATGAAGGGATGAAGGGATTCTCAGACACAGTGAAAAGTGTGACAGCTGACACTTGCAAATGTCAAACGTATCAGAAATACGCTTACCACTGAAGTGAAGTGCCATTTTAAGTAAAATAATATTTTAGGGGGGTATCACTTAGTGTATGTGTCATGATACTGAGAAGAGCTCAAGTAAAAGGTCATGCTTTAAAAGATTTTTACTAGGGCAAGAAAAAAAAAAAAGAAAGAGGGCCATCAAGTTTTTGGATCGGATTTTGATATCTATACACGTGCATCCATTGTGTGTACGCGTGGGAGGTGCACAAGCTATCGTGTGGCTGTCACTCTTTCACCGTGTAGAACAGCAGAGGTTGGTATTTCAGCTCACAGGCCCCAGCACATCCTGTGTCTAAAGACAGACACCAAGCTCACTTCCTCTCTCTCTCTGTCTTAGATACTGTGGCCGACATTCAATGGAAAAACTCAGCGCTTTGTAGTAGGGTACTGGAAACTTTCTCTGTGGCTGAGGTATGTGATAGTCAACAATAGCTGTAGCAAGAGCTTCCTCTCTCTCGCTTTCTGTTAAAGTCTGTCTCTGTCTCTCATTCTTGTTGCTGCTAAAAGGAGGGGTCAGTGACTTGACTCATTGGTGTATTTTTAGACACAGAAGGCAGGAAGAGTGTGAGTTGTCATTTCTTCAAAAGGTAGCGAGAGGGAAAACCAACATCTTTACATTAAAATGCTGGCTGCACCACACCGCTTTCAAACTTTTGAGCTTTCAAACGTTTCATGCAGTCGTCATTTTTTGCATTCATTCAAATGCTGGTGTGGACCAAGGCTGTACACTGTTGTCTCAGACTCTTGATGACAGATCACCAATTAGCCCTATCTGGTTTACAGATGCAAGAGTGCCGCCTTGTGACATGTCACGGCAGCCAGCAGATCAGTGTTTGGTAGAGGTTGGTTTTGCTGGACCTTTTTTTTTTTTTTTTCTCTCCCTCCCAGTAAGAAGCTGCAGCAGTGGGTGTACTGGGCAGATGTTGAGGAGAGAATGATAGACAGGATAAAGGCCACTCTACCTGACGCTGAGCTCGCGCTGTGAGCCATGGAGGGATTTGGGGTGGAGGGGAGTGGGGGGGGGAGAGAGTGAGAGAGCAGTCCATCAGCAGCATGTGTGTTACTCTGTGTGAGTGTGTGTGTGTGTGTGTGTGTGTAGGTGTGTGTGTGTGTGTGTATATATATAGTGGGGATGAAACAAAGCAAACCGCACTGTGGCACAAAGTGCTCCCCACGGGCAAAAATGTGCCTTTGGTGATCAGTGATTAGTGCATGTTGTACAACCAAACCCAAAGTGACGTGCCATGAATCAATGTTATGAACTATGGAGAGAGGACTTCTTTTAGGGCTGCGCAACTAATCAGATTAAAAGAATAATTTTTTTTTTTTTGCAGTTCTTTTTTACGCCTGTAAATATACACAAATATAGCATTTACTCATTATACAACTACTTTGCAGGTTGCCAAGCAGGTACAGGACTCTGACGTAGTGTTTGTCCTAAAAGTGAAGCCACAATACTTTACATTCAGACTCATCATCAGATAAGGATTGTAATGTATACATTCATATGTGAATGTATAATACTGTAAGGGTTTGAATTTAACATTTAAAGTGGGCTAAGATTATGAGTCATACTTTTTACTTCTTTTAGTCATGTACTTTTATAATGTTAACCTGTAATCTCAAATGGAACTTGAGCTTAACTTAAAATCTACTTAGTTTATTTCAAATGTTAAACAAGAGTGACTTGTCTAATTTGTAACAACCCTTTGAGCCAATCACTGCAATCAAGTGTTTTCTGTAACTCTCAATCAGACTTCTGCACCTGTTGACAGGTGTTTTGATTTTGGCCCACTGCTCATCAGCAAAGTGCTCTGATTTGTCTGGCACAGTTTTTAAAAAATTATTCTTTTCAACCATGACTCAAAAGCAATGTCTTATTTCACATTATAATTTAGATTTTTTTTTAAACATTTATTATAATTTTTTTTTCAGTTTCTAGTTGTTTGAGTGACTATTGTGAATTTTGCCTTTTCTTTCATGGAAGGGTATGAAAACATTTGAGGACGACTGAACTTATTCAGCCTCCCTAAATCCTGTGCAGTGAGTTTTCTTTCCACTAGAGGGAGTGATGTAGCTTGTGATTACAGGCAGAAAACAGAAGGGCTGCTCACAACGCTAAGTGCGATTACTGAGGTGTACTGAGAATCCAATTAAAAAATAGCACCATGAAGAAAGAATGAAGGGCCACGGAGCTCTACAATACATGCTTGTCATTTGAAAATTGCGTGACAGGTTTTCAACACGTGAGCGTGTTTGTATGTGTTGTGAGTGTGATGGCGCGTACCTCCTCCAGCTGACTGTGAACATGCTGCACAATCAAATCGATTGCCACCATGTTGCCACCACCTGACAGGATGACAAACAGAAAATCAGAGTAATGTTAATTAGGTATCATGGGAGCTTGACAACATACTGTGACTTCTTTACGAGCAGCAATGTAATAAATACAAGTTAAAAAACAGACACGAGTGCAGCAGCTGTACAGCTGCATGGTATATTGAAATTAAAACACTTGATCCTTTTTTTCATGTTACTGCTGTTATGTCATAGGATTTGTTATGCAACACTGAAAATGTACATATGCAAATATGTTAGTATGCACGCACCCCGTGGCACCACAATATCCGCCAGGCGCATGGTGGGCTCAATGTACTGCTCAAAGGCTGGCTTGACAAACTTGTTGTACTGTTTGATGACACCCTCAATATCTCGGCCCCTTTCTGAAATGTCCCTCCTCAATCGACGCACCAAACGGATGTCAGAGTCTGTGTCCACAAAGATCTTCATGTCCAGCAGCTGGTGAGAAAACATGAAACAGGGGGAAAAGCATTTTAAAAAATAAAATACACATTCACACAAAGATGGCATGAGATAAATGCTAAGCTAAATATACATTTTTACCTCTACTTTTAGTGTCTTTGTAGGTTTCTTTTAAAGTGTACCAGCATCATTTATTATATTTATTCTAAAATTTAAGTTTACAGTGCTCTAACCTCGTATTTCATTCATCTCAACAGCCACATTACACAATATGCCTTGAAATAAATGCAAAAATGATGACTGGAAATGGCAATTTAGCTGTTAAAATACAGTTTTCTCCTAAAATAAATTATCCCATTGGAGCTGGAATTGTGTGGTGCCTCTTCATTATCTATCATAATCTATTCCATTTACTTTTGTGAGCCAGTATCTCATTGCAACAGGTAAATATTTCACCAACTTGTGTCCTTAGGATTTAAGCCAATGGGTCTTTCTTTCATCCTACAAACTGCAGTTATATTCACATGCAGAGTGTGACTTGTAGATGAAAAAGCATCAAATAGTAGGCTATAATTATTGAAAATATTAAATAAGTGACATTTTACAGTTGATAAACTTGTCAGTGCTCTCTGGTGGACAAACTGTGATGCACGAATTGTTACGAAATCACTTTAATCATAGCTTTGGCTTTTCTGTGTTTCTATATCTCTGCGCTTATCAACTAACATATATACATACAGAATTGAATTTGTGTATTTTTAAAACAGGGATTATATAAATGTGTGTGTGTTCGTGTGAGTGTGTTAGAATTTTTAAAAATGATTTATGTTCTTACAATAAGGTGGAAAACTATAAACCACAGCTACAGATAACAGTAACCCTGACAACAGCCCCTTCCACTGACCAGCTAAACATGTGAGAGGACAATAACCTTTCTATACCTGCAAGAGCTCTTTATCTGCAAAGGACATGATCCCCTCAAAGATGATAACACTGGCTCCATACACGGTTTTCTGTGGTGGACACAAGTGCAATTAATATTAGAGTAAAATATACACACAAACACGTGATTACATTGCAACAGTCATCATCATCACTCATAAGCAACAGGTGCCACTGATGAGTGAAAATCTCAGTGTAGTAAACGGATATTCGAAAATACAGTCAAGCAGACAGAAATCACAATAGTAGTCTGTCAGAGACCATCTGGAGATATGCAGATTTGCAATGTGACTAAACCTCTAGAGAGGGAGATTAAAACCCTCTTAGGTAATCGAGAAACTGAGATTATTTGGCGTAACTCTACCGTGCTACTCATTAACTTAAAAATACATCACCACGTGTCTGGATGTGTGCCTTCATCCTTACCCACTCCTTCTGTCTCCCATGAGTTGTGAAGTCATACACGGGGATTTTCACGCTCTTCCCCTGTTTGAGTTTGCGTAGGGTGTGTGTCAGCAAGTCAAAGTCGAAGGCATCAGGGTGGTCGAAGTTGTAGTCGTTACTGGCAGCACGGATCTGCTGGTCTTGGGACAGGACCTGAGGATCGCCACAATGTTAATGTTGATGAATGCTTAAATAATTAATGACGTAGCAGCAATGTTGCCACAACAGTGTTGTTTTTCAGCACATGATTTCCTGAACAAAATACTTTCTCTGTCTCATGCTCTGGCTTTTGCTTTGACACACACATTAACATTTGCATGTCAAAACATAAATAAATAAAATAAAGTAAAAGCAGCAGCATTATATAAATGCATTGCAGTGCAGCAAATGTACATGCTCAAGTATCGGCACATAATTTACAGATACTGTTGCAAAACAACTGTACGCTGCACAGATCACTGTTCAAGAGCTGTTGAAGTTAGGGGACCTAAATTTAGGAGAACATCATGCGCCACTGTGACGTCTGTACCAGGTGGTGTGTGTGTGCCCTAAGGGTGGTCAAGCATTAAAACTCCAGACCTGGTATTTGGCAGTTTGTGAGCAGCAACGCCCCCTTCTCAAGTGAACTGATTACATGCTTAACACGATAAACCGACGTTACAGGCTCTGCGTGGACTGTGAGTGACCCCAACAGAGGAAACTGAGATATCAATATAAAAAATTAAATATGAAATGTTAAAAAATGCAGAGCCCTGCTCATGCAGTGAGCACACTGCCCCTTGCTGAAGGCTACAGTAGCGCTGGTCACTGGTAAATCCCTCCTACTCTGCACAGTCTGAACCACCGCTGTCAGATTTTGACAGGATTACGCAACCAGTGAGTAGGTGGAGGCATAGAGGGGCAAGAATGATTGCTCTTGCTCGATTGCTCTCCAGCACTCTTTTTCTGTCCCCAATTCACTCATCACTGTGCCTCATTTTAAACACATGTGCTTTCTTATATTTTATCCTTCCCATCTCTTTTCTGTCCAGTCACTCCTCTTATCCTCAATTTCCCCCTGGGATCCGAAGGGAATCTTATTTTCTCTCTTTCACTCTGTCTTCTGCACTCAGTATCACTCTTTGGTTCCTTCCTTCAGGCCACTGAGGGGTTAGCAGCAATACAAGACAGAAATGAAATAATAATAAAAGGAACAATATTCGTGGACTTTTCTCATAATTTTCATCTCTTGAATCTGAAAAACACTTGCAAATACATGCAGTACCACACGGAAGTTCAGGTAACCTATGACAGCCGTAAACAGGCGTGTAACCACACGCATCAGCCCATACCACATACATTACATGAACATGCATACCTTGTAAAAAGAATCCATTGAAAGTAGCACAACCCATGGAACATCTAGTGCTTCAATTATTTTCCTGGCTACAGTTGTTTTTCCTGAAGCGCTGCCGCCACACAGACCTGGGACAGGAAATCGACATAAAGACATTAAGTTGTGTTCGTGTACATGTTTAATGACAAAAGTGTGATTTTTAAACACCTTTGCTTTGTGCAAATATACTTGCACAAAGCTGACAGGGCACTCTACTAAGTGCCTGTCGAGGCTCTTCTAAGCTACTATTTCCATGTAGAGAGGCAGGCAAGAACAATGGCTTTCCTAAAGGCAAACAATCCCATTAACGGGTTAAGGTATTTTCAGAAATCCTCTTTCACAAAACACAGCCCAATGCTTCTTGGTAGCTCGACAGACACACATTTAACTCAGGCAAAATGTCAATAATGACACTGAATGAGCTAGTCAATGACCATTAGCAGTAAAATGGTGATTGCTTATTTCTGCAAAAGACACATGCTTATACAGCGTATCGGTTAACTTTGTGTCCAACTGATAAACATTCCTGAACAAAAGATTCATGTCAAGCACTCAACTCTTTAGATTTTGACTTGACACAGAGCACTTCATCTAATCTGCTACTTTTTTTTTTTACCTCAGTTTGGCAAACGCAGCTTTATAAAGGTGTGTTGGCCCAATATGCTTTTTTTGTTTTTTCAATATTCTGTGATGTAATCATGCAAATTTAAAGGGGAAAACACTCCAGATGAAACTGAGATATACAAAGAAAGAAAGTGTTGTTACACTGTGTTGCACATCACTTTTCAGTTTCCTACCAATGACGAAGGCCTCTTTGGACTGAGTTCCGTGTTCGTTGTACCAGGGTGGTCGACCAGCAGTGTAGATGGTTCGTTTGGAGGTCCGTAGCAGAGGCGGCTCAGACTTACACTGGCTGGTGGTCCTTTTCCTGGGTGAAAGTCCTGTGCTTACTGAGGGGAGAAGACGGTCCAGTGATCCTTCACCTCCACTGTAAATCAACAAACACACAACAGAACATGCGCTCACTGGCTGGAACAAAGAAAGAAATGCTTTTTTTGTTGTTGCTGATGGTGCATATTTCTATATTTAATAGAACTTTGTCCTCAAAAAATGCTGATCTTGGCAAACAGCTCTGCTCACCTTTAAACATGAATCATTTTTTGCCTGTAGGTTTTTTTTTTTTGTTTTTTGCTTGATCATAAACTAAAGCTGGGCTGCAGGGTGGCGCAGTTGGTAGCACTGTTGCCTCGCAGCAAGAAGGTTGCCGGTTCGCGTCCCGATAAACTAAAGCACCATTATTCCTAATAGTTCTATCTTATCAAATCGTATACAGTACAGTAAAATGTCTCTTGGTCACAGTGTAGTAAGGACTGCAATTTTGCTTCGAGGTAAAGTCAGTAATTTGCATCCAATTCAGGTTTTGTCTATTTAAGTGAATATCTGTTCATGGTCTGCTAACTGGTTGTTCTATGTGTGTGCTGAAAAAAAACAATCAGTATGTACAGTTTACAGAGTTGAATAGTTTCATTTCTTGCACCTAATATGTGGATAATTTAAAATGTGTAGAATCTCATTCATACTACTTTTGTAATATTCAGAAAAAGGTGGCTATAATTGTTGCTTCTCTGCAAAAGAGCACTCATAATCCTCTTTTAGGACAGTGGGTGTGGCGACTTAGTTTTCAGTGAGGCAAATGGAGATTTGCAGTTTTTTGACTATAACCCTGGAATAGAATAACTGGAAACCTACTGAATGATTTTTCAGAATTATTACATTATCTAACCGTAAAAACCATTCAACCAGCGAGATGTTTGGATATTTATACAGAAATTTATACAATTTAGGAACCGGAATGTGAGCAGTAAGAGCCTCGGCAAATGAGCTTTATATAAATGCACATTTATTTACTACAACGAGGCAAGAACTACTAACTACAACACAAACAATGATAATAAGGCATGAAAAGGGATGGACAAAGTGAAGCCGTCTTTCCCGCCAAGAAAAGCACGCCTAGTCAAAAGAGGAACTCTCCTCTTTGACCGACAACAAAAGAACTCAAATTGGTGTTTGAGGTTTTGCATATCAGTAACTCAGGAGGGGATTTATGGGACGCCTGTTGATCAAAGGAGACACGGGTGCCATGCTTGAGGTTGTAAATCTTGTTGGGATCTTTAGTTATCTGTGTGTTACAGTTTTCAAAGTCCCCTTCGTTGTGGGAAACAACAACAAAATGTGAGCAGCAACCGAAACACTGAAAGTTTTGCAGAAGATTTAGGTGCGATAAGGTAGGCAGGCGTGGTTGTTTTGGTGAAGCAATCATTTTAATGACGACGCTCTCCACCTTGTTCACCACAGCAATCTTCCCCCAACAACAACACTGTCTCTGGTGTTACGCACCGCCCAAGATTGTTGCAATTGGTTTAAAGAAACACAAATATTTTTTCCCTTTGGCAGAAATGAGAATGTGTGTAGAAAGGACATTAAAGCTTGTGCACGTTCATGTTCGTACACAGGACAGACGAAAAGGGAGGGGAAGGTGAGACGAAGAAAAGGGGGCAGTGGGAGCGAAGGAGACAGTAAGTCTGGCACATGCTAACTACCTAATTAGGCCAACTAGAAAAATATTAACCATCTTTTACATAATCACAGACCCCACCTTTAATAAACCACACACTGATTTAAAAAAAAGGCACAACACCATAACACAACCGCTGCTCATTGGTGTGCTTGTGTCAAGACTTGCATTCAATGAAAAAACAATAAGGCAAGGTGTTAACAAGACAGCCACAACAACAGGACACAAATGTAATCCCCATGTTCATTTAAAGAAAAAT